AGTGTTGAAAATTTAAGTTTCAAGAATAAACTACTACTCTTTATGTTGTCATTGAACCTGCACTAAACATATATGTTGTCATTTTAAATGTTTATATAAGTGCTTACTTCTGGAATGTTATCTGATGCATTTTGTGAACAATGATATAATAATGACTTGGGTGAATACTGTGCAAGTTTGAAATATATTTGTCTTTGTTCTCACTGTTTAATATCATGTCTGTTTATTTGCTGATTTATGTATTAATTTATTTTTAGCGGCCCGCTAATGTGGATGCTCTACGTCGGGTTTTTCTTGCAAGACGGAGTTCACGCATCAGACGGCGTGCATGTGCCATTACGTCTCCGTTCACCCCAATAGTGCGAAGAATCCGTAAGAAAAAGCCTGACTCACCTGTCATCGTTCAAGAGGCCTCCCCTATCGTTCAAGAGGCCCCTATCATCCATCAAGAGTCCCCTCCCACCGTTCAAGAGGCCACTGTCATCGTTGAAGAGGTCCCTCCCAACATTCTAGAGCCCTATTCACACAGCGTAATATATCGATTTATTAAGAAGCCCCCTCACGTGCCGGACATGATGGATGACTGTTGGATTTCGTATAAGTTACCGGCCAGTACCATTCCGGCAGATGAAGTGGAGAGGAAACAACTACCAGAAACAATTCTGGATAATACCCTTTGGGCTAAGACCGCAGTTGATTTTTATCTACATGAGCGGAGTCAAGGGTGTTACGCTGACATATACAAACTCAACGATGATATGCATTTGTTGATTGAACGGTCTTGGTGGGGTGTATTATTATGGGTTGAAGACAACAGCTATTTTGATGGGGGGTAAGTCTTATATTTCTTATATTTCAGTTTGATTAATTTTTTTTAAAATTTATGTAATTCACTAATATATGTCTTTTTTGTAAAACAGCATATTGATGCATGGGTGACACGTCTTCTAATTGTAAGGAAATTGAAGAAAAATATTAAAAAATTGCGATATACAATTATACCGACATCTTTTCACGTAGTTCACTTGAAGAATCAATGACAGGAATCATCTTTTCAAATTTCATGTCCCCGATATACCCTACCATTCAAAAACATTAACTCAGCCAGAAAACCACCCAACACCTTTTTGTTTGCCTGTCTATGGTGAGGAAAAACTTGGGTTCTTGAACATGTATGTTTATCAATAAAAGTCCTAACTTGAAACATTTCGCAATCTTTTATCCTCTTTGCAATCATACACCACATACAGTTTTTGTCAATCATACACCTTGTTTCGAAACGATCTTTGCTTGATTTGTTAACTTTTAGTTGATAGCCATCTTCCACACATTTCGTATACAAAACTATCTTCAAGTCTTCATTTGTATCAAAGCAATCATCTTTCTTGATACTAATAATTTTTGTGTAACAATCAACTGCTATCTTTACCAACTCTTCTTCCGGTATCTGAAGTAATTCTGGCATATTCCAGTTATACTCCCGTGGCATTTTCTTCGGGGACTTTTCTTTGGGGATTTCTTCTTCTTCTTTTTCTTCTTCAGTGTTATATGAATTACAGAATGGATGTTCAACATGTTCATTTACAGTCGTAACTTCCTCCTCATTATCATCAACAACATCTTCCTCGGCAACGGCTGTTTCATCATCAAAATTCGGGTATTGACCAATATCAAAATCATTACACGCAGGGTCTGTTTCTTCTTCTGAAAAATCATCAAAATCCGAGTATTGACCAAGATCAAAGTCCGGGTATTGACCAAGATCAAATTTCGAATACTGACTGGTACTCACAATTTTTTCTGTTGGCTCATCATCGTCTAACTGGTCAATACAAAAATCGAAATTTGGTGCTGAAAGTTGATTGGGATTTGGATTAGGGAAAGGTTGTGGGTTTTGAGATTGTGTTTGGTATTGGAAATGTGGTGAAACAATATTTGCTTGGTGATGAAATTGTGGTGGAACCATTAAATTTTGAGCACCATAAACTGGGGTTGAAAAACTTAGTTGATTACTACCCGCTACTGACCCAACTTCAATACTTCTAGTTTCAACAACATACAATGTAACATCATCACTTGAAACACTAATGTAAGCAATGAATCGTTCAACATCTTCATTGTCGGTTAACAAATAAACTTTACCATTTCTCTGATAAGATAGCCTAAATCCACTTAGGGGCTCTAAATTCAATTTATTTGCAACACGTAACATTAGAGTTTCATAAGTTAACTTTTTTAATGACAGTTTTAGTTGTAGATTCATGGGTAAAGACATATATTGTAAAACACCATGAATATTCTCCCATGACCCTCCAAAACACAAATATATCCAAACATGATCAACATTAGATGATTTCATTATTGTAAATTAATTTACTAAACAAACGAGCTGCGAAACTAAAACCTGTTGCCGGATGGGGAAGGATGTCGTTAGATATAGGAACGGATGTCGCTGGAGAGAGTGATAGATGGAGATGGAATGAGTTGCGATTTAGGGATTTAAGTTATGAGTTGATGTTGTTGCGTAGTTATATACCCAAAACATTTGTGTTGCGAAAATAAAACCTGTTGCGAATTCAGAAATCGAGTTGCGAATTTGGAATTCAGTATTGCGATAGTCAGAATCTCGTTGCGATTTACGTAATCGCATTGCGATTTTCGTATTCGCATTGCGATTTACGTATTCGCATTGCGAATTAGGAAAATCGCAACGCGAATTTGGGAAATCGCAATGCGATAGTCAGAATCGCGTTGCGAATATGGAAACTAATTTGCGATACCGGAGATCGCGTTGTGAATTGTCGATCGCATTGCGATTTAGTTGGTCATTTTGGCAAATCCCAAAAAAGTTGGTTAAAATAGTATATTATAAGACATTTTTGATCACTGAGATTATTTTCTCTTCTTTTAAATATATTATTAAAAATAATAAAATTATACAAGTGTCACGTGAAAAAACAATAATATGATATGTGACATAAAATGGTAAAAGAAATTATTATATTTAATGATCAATATTAGTAAAAGTTTAAATAGATGAGATTTCAAAATAAAAAGAATTATAAATTGTGCGAATCAAATGATCTCAGTGATCACTTTAAATTAATAAAAAATTATAAATTAAATTGATATTTGAAATAAAATACAAAGACTTTAATACCCTTTAGTCAAATATAATTTATACACAACGATGAATGTGAGTTTATATACGTTATTCTGTTTTTGTTTTTAATTTTATTTTTATTTGGTGAATGTTTTTTAATAATTTTAGATAATTATAAAATAAAATTTGTTTAAAAAATTCAATTCATTAAAAAATATACATACCCTATTAACGTAACATTTTAAATTTAAATATAAAAATATAAAGTAATGGGATGATTGAGTATTTAGAAAGGATGGCGGAGGATAGTTGAGTAATAGAGCAGGTTTAGCATAGAGTGAATATTAAAAGGGTAAATTGGTAAGTAATGGGTGTCGGTTTGTGGGTGGAGGTTTTAGATCCAGTGCCAGTCAATCGCCATGTGCGGGGATCGAAACGCACCGACTTATAAAAATCTAATCAAAAAAGAAAAGAAGAAGCCTGTAGAAGTGTGATGGGCCCCGCATGTCTAGTAGGCATGATTTCACTCATAATAATATATTATTGAAAAATTAAAAGGACATTGGGAATAAAAGGGGCCCATCGTGTTGTATAATGGGAGTTTACATGATGACAGCGTAGCTGTGGCCTGTGGTTGGATCAGATCAAATAGCAATTCCAACGGTTTTAGTGAACGTGCATTCCACCGTCTTTTACTCAACAAGGAAACCTTCTTATTGCATTTGCTGGCTTGCCGGCAAGTAGACTCGCGTGACATCAATAATACATGCATCGATGTGGATTGCTTTTCGTTAACATGACAATCATGTCGTTTTTTTAGTTTATCTTTTTTTTTAAAGATAAAAATTTTATGATTTCATCCATATATGAAGTAGTCATTAAAAATCACGATTTTTTAGTATTTTCTTTGACCACTCAAGAATCATTAAGCTTACTTCATGGTTTCTACCACTTTATCATTTAGATTTATTCAAAATATTTTAAAATTCAACTAAAAAAACATGAAACTTGAAACACTAAATTTAGAATGTCTACCATTCGAACAGCAAGGAGTCAAAATATACATATTGTTTTTTTTCCCTCTCTCCATTGTTGTTATTTAGGAGAGTCTTATCAAATCAATTTTTTTCTAAAACATAAAGTTTTGATATCATTTCATATTTTCTAAAAGAAAAAGTATCCAAGAAATCATTAAATAAATTAATCATTTAATAAATATTTCTTCTTTTAAATAGTTTAAGTTGATTACAAAGCAATCACTTAAACATTAAATCTCTATAAAGAATAATATTTTTTACCGTTAAATTCATTTGATGATTTCTCATTTAACAAATATTTTAATCCACTTTATTTGCAGAAACATTATGATGAAAGGTAAAGAGTATAGCATACAAGAGATCAATATTTAAAATTTATTAAATGAACAGTTCTAAAATAATTGTTTAAATTTTAAAACAATTATTACAAATAATCATTAAAGAACATATTAAAGTAGAAAGAGTTGAATGTTGTGTAGATGTTAAAGGTCTAGACTGGGAAAGGGAGAGTATGGCTAATGAAGAAGTCTGGCTTTCTCTTACGTTAGGTGTCACTCACGTAAATCAAAAAAATATGGGACCCCGACCTGTATAGCTGAAATTTAATGCCCCTAATTCCTATGAACTCTCAGAAGATGGTACCGTTTTGAAAGTTTGTTTCACATTTCAGATGTGCAAAAGCAACAGTGAAAGTGAAATTTGTTCCTTCGCCTCTCTTATATTTCATGCTCCAACAACATGCATTTGCTTTCCTTCTCACTCTCTGTCAAACACATCCCATACATTCCCTCTATGTTTTCCTATTTATGCAACACCTACTCATTGGATTTTCCTGGAAAACAAAAAGGTGGACGTACGTTATAAGCAATCTGCTTTCTCATTTTCTACCATATATTTGTATTGTTTTTTTTTTCTTTGATTTTTTGCTTATGACATATTTGACAGGTCTTGTGCTTTGTAGTGGCATCAGCAGAGATGAAAACAAGGACCACTTATAGCTTGGGATGGAAGCATATCTATATGGTGCTTATCGTACTAATTTTGATGGCCGCTTTAGTACGAATCGGGAGACAAGGTTCCTCACTCTCTAGTACTATGCCTTCATCTCAAGATCCTTTTACTGAATCTTCTCAGTCGGAGCATGATCGGTTGATGGAATCTTCTCCGTCACGGGAAGATCAGTTCATCGAGTCTCCTTCATCGGCTGAGGATCAGTTTACAGACCCTTCTCCATCAGCTCAGGGTTAGTTCATTGAGTCTCTTTAGTCTTATATCTTGAATTAAGTAAATTGACCCTCTTTCCTCCGATGCTATTGTGGTTTCACCAGATGATGTATCTATGTCTGAGAACCCGGAACCAGAAGGTACTTTTGAGGTGAACAATTCTGATGCAATCATGACTGAAGAAACAAAGGATGAAGAACCGAATTTCGATCTTCCTCTGCCGATAGATCCAGCGATGCCGTCTCCGTCTAGGAAGGACGATAGTGATGTGGAGAACATTACATATTCATCCAAGTCCGAGCCGCAAGGTAATGTCATATTAGTCTGGTAGAGGATCATATTGAAGTTATGCATGCATATTAATGCTACTGTTCCCTGCAGAATGTAACTATGCAAAGGGTAAATGGGTTGCAGACAGCCGGCGCCCGTTGTATTCCGGGTTTAGTTGCAAACGGTGGTTACCGAGTGCCTGGGCATGTCGACTAACTCACCGAACAGATTTTTCCTATGAAGGATACCGCTGGGAACCAATAGATTGTCCAATGCCAGAATTTGAGCGGTTTAGCTTCTTAAGCAAGTAAGAACTTTTTATTAATGTAAGTCCTAAACATGACAACATTCACATTCTGCTTGCTTACAATGATTTCATTTCAGAATGCAGGACAAAACGATTGCATTTATAGGTGATTCATTAGGGAGACAGCAATTCCACTCTTTGATGTGTATGGCCACCGGTGGGGAAGACAGCCCTGACGTTGAAGATGTCGGAAGCGAATACGGATTTCTCAAACGTTCCAGAGGCATCCGTCCAGATGGATGGGCTTACCGGTTTCCATCCACTAATACCACCATTTTATTTTATTGGTCTTCAACACTTTGCAGATTGGAGCGAATTAACAACTCCAACCCAGACTCAAGTCTCGCCCTGCATTTGGACCGCGTTCCGAGTTTCTTGACCAAGTTCCTACACCGTTTTCATGTGTTGGTTCTGAATACAGCACAACACTGGATTAAAGCAAAATTCATAGCGAATGGCTGGATAATGCACGTAAACCGGAAGCCTATCAAAGAAGGAATACTTATGGACATGACGAATGTGAAGAACTACACTGTTCATAGGATTGTGAAATGGCTTGATTCACAACTTCCGTTACATCCGGGCCTAAAAGCTTTCTTTCGGACCAGGTCACCGAGGCATTTAGACAAAACCGGATTCTGCAATAATACTATTCCATTGACGAGAGGGAGTGAAGTGTTTCAAGAAGTATCAAGTGACAAAGTTGTTGAAACAGCAATTAAAGGCACAAGAGTCAAGATTTTGGACATAACTGCTCTTTCTGAACTAAGAGACGAGGCTCACAAATCCCAGTACCATATTTTCAGTACCTCTGCTTACCATGATTGCTTGCACTGGTGTCTGCCTGGCATTCCTGATACCTGGAATGAACTCCTTGTAGCTCAATTATAAACTTTGTTATATGCCGTTTCATAAAATGATTTTTTTTTCCAGCAAATGGAATTAGAATAGTGATTGAAGAATGCCTTAGCATCTTCGTATTTGTTGGGAACTATGGTCCCGTTGTAATAATTGCAGACATGATCGAACCCTGTTTTTCCAATTTACACTTAATTAGATCTTTGTTAGTAACTTTTTGGTACTTGGAAACACGATTGTTGTTACCCTTCTCCCTGATTCAAAATGAAGCACCAGTCTGCGGCTAAAATGAGATGGTATCACATAACATAATTGCCTGTTCAACCAGTTGACGACAAAGAGATGGTAATAAACTATTATACAACAATAATGTTAACAGACTGAGGGCCACCTTCGATATACAAAAATCAACGAGAGTGTGTTACAAGATCGAAGTATTGGAGCATTGTATATCTTTCCCCTGCAACAAAACTCCCATTGTCCCCGAATGTTCCCGCTTCAAGTAGTCTTAAACTAAAACTGCAACCACTTGTCTAGTTGGCTAGAAGAATGAGTAGCCAAATTAAACAGAATAGGGAGGGAGGATCCTTCTGTCAAAGGAATATACTCGATTTCATTTGACGTTTGGATGGAGCAGAAAAAGGATATTTATCCTGTCGCTATTTACAATATCTCAAATGGGTCTTTTTCTTGGAGAGGTGCCTTGAAACCAGGGATCCATAGTGTATTTTTGAATTGGTCTCGAAGCATTTGCAGAGAAATCACCCAAGTTGTAGCTGCTCTGTCCAACAAACTGATAAGCTGGATGAGGAGGAGAAAGGAAACCACTCTTGTGGGCTTTACCACGTCTTAGAAGACTTGAACAAGCAGACACGGGCAAAGATGTGGTTATGCCCACAAGAGTGTAAGGAAATGCATCCTTGGTTATGCTAATGTTAATAACTCTTGTTGTTGTTTGGTCATTAATGAAAGGGTGATCTAGCAGTTGCAAGGCCGTAGGACGAGTAGATGGTTCTCTTTGCAAGCAAAGCCTTATGAAACTTTTTGCTTCACTGGAAAGGTGATCAGGAATCTCTGGCATATCTGTACTGTTTCCTATTTTAAATATTGCAGCTACCTGTTGAGTTCAGAAATAACAGAAGGATTACTCCTAGTTCCTAAACATTTCAGAGCTAACCAGAAAAAAAGATATTATCTGATAGATGTTAAAGAACTAATATGTCGCACCCCTTCATACTGATTCGATGGTGGTTTTGATGTTGTCATTTCAAGTATAGTGCAGCCCAAGCTCCAGATATCCACTGCAAGGTTGTAGCCATTTGTATTCATCACAACCTGAAATCAGAATAATATACACATAAGTGGCCATATGATGGAGAACTGGGGTTACCGAATGGGAAAATATTTAGCGTTGAAATTGACGTAAATGAGTTCTAAAAGTGAAAGGGGGGTGATCCTATGATCATATAATTGAACGGGACATGAAAAGCATTACCTCAGGTGCCATCCAGTAAGGACTTCCCTTGAACGAAAGCATTGCACCACAATCTGTTATCTGGATCAAAAAGAAAAAGAACAAGGGGCCTGTTTCCCTCATTGACTAGAGATAGAACTGAAGTAGGGTGACAAGATCACTGGCCAATTTTTATCAGTCTTTACATAGGTTTTAGGTATAAATTCATAGGTTCCTTATGTGCTAGATTTAGCTCAAAGTCTAGATTTTCCATCTCAAGACTACAGTCAATTCTTTAAAGGTCTGATAAGAAGAATGAAAAAAACTGTAACCTTGCAGAAAAATTGGGGTTCAAGTGATTGTCTAAAGGATGATATATTTAAAATGATAGTTTCATATTAATCTCTGATTTCTTTACAACCAAAAGCGGCATCACATCAAATGTCATTTAGTTGATACTTATTATTCTTGGCCACCACCTATTTTCCAGAGAAACTGAAGCTTCAGTATTCTAGAATGGATGAGATAAGGTAACGTACATGTTTTGCCATGCCAGAGTCTGCCAACTTGATTTCACCAGTAGGATCTACTAATATGTTAGCTCCTTTTATGTCCCTGAAACACGAAACCCACAGCATTAAAACATAAGAAAGCCGAAGCTAAATTTCCACACTACAGAAAACGAACCATCCAAGTACCTGTGCACTGTATTTCTTCCATGCAAGTAAGCAAGCCCGGAAAGAATTTGCCTTGTATAGTTTTCATTAACAGGTTCCTTTAAGGAACCATATTCTTGAAGCAATTTGTGGATTGAACCACCAGACACATATTCCAAGTAGATTGAGAGTTCTTCTTCACCCTGAAAATGGCAATTATACTTTATTAAGAAGCAAGCTACAATTAACTGGTGTCTGGAGAAGGATTTGAATTATCATTCTCCGCTCCACTTCGTGTTCATTTCATAATGTAAGAGGTCATTTGCATGTCATGTATTCTAAAGCAGAATAAAAGAACCATACCGGTTCGCTTCCATAGTATCGTACAATGTTTGGATGAGATAGCCGACTCAGTAAATTAATCTCCTGTTGATATTAAAAAGCATTAGAAAACCAGACACTCAAATGTGGCAACTCGTAAATGATCTTGATATCAACCGGTAAAAAAAAAACAGAAAGTGAAATCTAAACTGAGATTACCTGGTTCAGTTGCTTTAGGCTTTCTTTTGATGTCCTATCATCAGAGACAAGCCTGACTTCTTTTATTGCACACATCTGCCTATTTTCACTGTCGATCGGGGATGCACAATGCTTAGATGAGTACAATGGGAAAAAACTTAAAAAAAATACCGATGATCTTACTAAATATCATTTTTATCTTGCATACTAGCAGAATTAGTACCATGAATGCAAGTTGCCAGCTAGTTTCTGTGACTGGTAAATCTAAACTATTTTATGACTCAGTGTCTGATGATAAACTATTTTATGACTCAAAGTGTCTGATGATTAACCGATACAGAAAGCAAGTCCTACCTATTAAATCCAAGGTAAACATGTCCGAAAGTTCCCCTCCCTGGTAGTCTACCTCTTCGCCATTTTGATAGAGTACAAAATGTGTTTTCACTCACTCCACAAGCTCTAGGGCTACTGCTAGGCAAGGAAGCAGAGGGACTAGTAGGAGAGCCCGGAGGAAGAGGTAACTTGTGACACACGGATTTCCCATCTTCCTTTCTCCCCGTTGGAGAGTCGATACTCACAGCAGACAATTGATGATGAAGGGGCGATGTTGGGCTGGTAGGCCCTTTCGACTGCGGACCGGGGCTTCTCGACCTTGCATCCATTCTAATTTCACCTTGGCCTCTGGGATCAATATATGACCTGGACTCCAGTTAATATCAGCTCGCTGAAAATCATTAGTCGTTACAGAAAATGCTACAATTTGAGTGTGATGAATCCAAAGCCATACGACAATTTTGAATATTTATCTCATTAGATATGGTGTGTTACTTAAAGATGTAAGAATCCAACACTATATCAATCCAGAATTGCATTCAATCTGAACATGCAATAGTGATTCATTTTTAAGAGTTAAAGTTTGACCCTTTGGCGAATATTGTTTTAACAGTCATACCGAAATGTCGAGGAAAATCGCATCTTGTTTTCTAACTGTAAAGTAAACAAGTCTCTGACAGCAAAAAATAAGAGGAATTTTCGGTTCCAAAAGCTGAAAAGTATATACTAATAGGAAATTCTACAGTACGGAAAGACGTTACCGGTTTTGTTATTTTTTTAATAAAATCGGTAAAAAATTACCTAAAATATTATTATTTCTACCTAAAATATTAATTTTTTTTAATATTTCCGGTAAAATGCCAAATAATAACAAAATCGGTAAAAAAAATAACAAAATCATTAACGCTTTACTGGACATATTAACAAAACTGATAAAGTGCCCAATAATAACAAAACCGGAAATATTAAAAAACATTAATGTTTTAAGTAGAAATAATAATATTTTAGGTAATTTTTTTACTGGTTTTGTTAAAAAATAATAACAAAATTGTTGTAACCGTCTTTCGGTTGGGCCCCGGAATTGGGCTTCGACTTGAAAAATTGGGTTGGAGTCGCCACCGATCACTTTAAAAATATTTAGGTGGATCGGACACCATCTTACCTGATCTGCGTTGTACCAGAAACGTGTCGGGTTCGGGAGTCGGTTACGGTCAAGGAAGGATTAGCACCCTTGAACCGCCCTTTCGGTACCAATTAATTTATCGGTTGTCTTCATTACGAGAAATTAGAAATTTAAATTAAAATTTAAAAACCCAATTCGAATCACTTACCTTTAATCGATCGAAAATATCCCTAAAAAGTCAAAAAGTGTTAGATAAAGAATAAAAAATAGTAAATAAATCAAAGAAGATAAAAAGGAATTAAAAACAAAAGAAAGAAAAAAAATAAAAATGTTAGAAGTAAGGAATGAAATAAGAAATAAACACATAAAATAAATAGTAATTAAAAAACAGAAAAAAAAAGAAAAAAAAGGTTGGGGACCAAATAGTAATTAAACCAGCTATCAAACAGTGACTAAAATAGAATAAGCATAAATTACAGGGCCAAATCTGGAAATCATCAAACATAATATATGAATTAGTGACTGAAATGAAAATATAAAAAAATGAAGGCTTAAATTGAAAAAAAAAGAAAGCTGCATTAATGGCTACACGTCAGGATTATAAAATAAGGAGGACCAAAAGGGAGATTATCCCTTTATATTCAGAAAACACGGATGGTGATGGCGAAAACGACGTAGTTTTGACGCACCCTAAAACGGCGCCTTTTCACTGAACCCATAAAACCCCCAAAATGCATCTAATTCTCCAAATTCCTCCCATTTTCCAGTTTACACTCTCTCTCTCAACAGATATCTCTCTCTCGTCCCTCTCTACATTCCTTCGCTCGGTGAGAAAGCCGGCCCCTGACCGGTAGCCACTCCGCCTTCCGCCGCCGCCTCCGGCTACCACCGGCGGTGGCCGGAAAGTCTAAACAAGCCCAGAACACTCTCCTTGACACCCCGAGCGCCAATCCAAAGTCTAAATCCCACAAATATCCCCAAAACGGCGTAGATCTAAAGTGTGAGCTTCAGTTTTTTACCCTTTAAAACCGGCGTCTCTTGAGTTCCGGCCACTCCTCGGTTATGGCTAGGCTCTTACGTACTCTCGATGAACAAAACCGAGTAACCCTCGATTTTCTGTGATTTTTCTAGTGATTGTTGCTTTGGCTTTTGGTTTCTGTTGTTTTTTGTGTTTGTGGTTTTTGGTTGTCTGATGTGTGTTTGGCTTGCTCCCGATGATACTTGGGTATTGTTCTCGTTGTGGGTATTTTGGCTTTAGGCTTGTGGTTCTGTGTAGAATGGTTTTGTGGTCGATGGTTCTCGGTATCTCTCGATGATGCTGTCTTTCTCCTCCCCCCTTTTCTCGGTGTACCCTGTTGGTATTTATATAGCCCCCAACGGGGCTGTTTCCGGCGATGACGGGGTCATTCCCGTACCTTTCGGGCCTAACGTTGTTTCACGTGACTGGGAATCCCGGGATGGTGCAGTCCCGGTTTTCCCGGCCGTTCTTGCTCTCTCTTTGACTGTATAACTTCCCCATGCGCGGCGCCTGTGACTTGATGTCTCTTCAGGGTTTTCCAAACCCTAAACCTGGACGGGCTGGGTCAGGCTCAAATCTGACTGGACCAGACTAGTGGACCCTTTGCTGGATTGATTATTGGACATGAACAATAAAAATAAAATTAATAAAAATAATAATAATACTAAAATAAAAAAAATGACAATTATAATAATAAAAAATATTTTTCAAAAACCTATATAATATATATTTTCAAAAATATTTTAAAATTATATATTATATATATTTTTTAAAAATGTTTTCAAACTCATAGTTTCAAAAATGTTTTGAAATTATATGTTATATGTTTTCAAAAATGATTTCAAAAACTATATAATATATATTTTTTCAAAAATGTTTTCAAAAACTATATATTATATATTTTCAAAATGTTTTTAAAAAAAACATATATTATATAGTTTTCAAAATGATTTCAAACTATATAATATATATATATATAAATAATAAAAAAGATGGACGAAAATTAGTGTCTACAGCTGCCCCTCTTTGTCATTTTTCGAGTAACGAAAAATAGGACAAAGATAAAAAGACAAAAATTTTCGTTCGGTGGAGAAGAATAACTCCCTGTTGAATTAAGATGTGGATGGCTCCTCTGTCACGAAGTCGAGTCCACCTTGAAATTATATGGGATTGAATCCGTAGTTCGGAATTGGAATGTGAATGTGGCTTCTCGCTGCCAAATTGTAGTCAACTTCGGTCTTCTTTTCGGTTTAAAGACATTGGTTAAAATTCGACTGGAAAGTAGTTCCTTGACTCTATCACGTGGTTGATAAACCTTCGAGCTGAATGCAATCGAACTCGAAGGGTCTTCATTGGCAGATAGCTTTTCTCGACTTAAGCTATGCTGTCGGGAAACAGTTTCTTTGTTACCGAGGCACGGTTAACCCGAGTCTTCTTCTTGACTTAAAAACCTCGACTGCAACCGAAAAGTAGTGAAAGATGTGCCGTCGAGCTGAATGGAATCAAACTCAACGATTTTGTTGATAGATAGCTCTTCTTGTCTTGAGCTATTTTGTAAATATGATGTGCCTTGGAGCTGAGCGTAGTCGAACTCGAAGGTCTTTGGTTGGCAGAAAACCCTTCTCGACTTAAGTTATGCTGCAAATGATATGCCTTGGAGCTGAGCGTAGTCGAACTCGAAGGTCTTTGGTGACAGATAACTCTTCTAGCCATGAGTTATTCTGTAAATGATGTGCCCTCGAAGCTGAGTGTAATCGAGTTCGGGGGTCTTTGGCAGATAGCCCTTCTCGACTTAAGCTATGCTGCAAATGATGTGCCTTGGAGCTGAGCGTAGTCGAACTCGAAGGTCTTTGGTTGGCAGATAACCCTTCTCGACTTAAGTTATGCTGCAAATGATATGCCTTGGAGCTGAGCGTAGTCGAACTCGAAGGTCTTTGGTGACAGATAACTCTTCTGGCCTTGAGCTAAGCTGCAAATAGTTTGTTTAAAAATGGCTTCCCTTTACGGGTCGAAAACGATCATGATTCTTCAAGTGGTTCCCCTAAGCTGGTCTGGGAAAACCTACTGATAAATTCTGACAGCCGGATATCTTCCGTCGTGGAATTGAAATCTGGCTTGAAAGTGTTAACTGAAAACATGTTGCTCATTGTTGAGTTGAGCTGAACTGAATTTGATCTGAATTGGTTCTCGAACCCATCTGAAATTGGTTCTGAGATCTGTATATATGTAAAGTCGATTGAGGTGTAGCTTCTTGCTGCTGAGTTACACCATTGTTCTTTAAAGGTGCCTGCAAGTCGAGTAGCCTTCATCCTGAAGTCGAAGCTTGACTCTGAAAGCTGCAAAATTATGCATGCTAAAATGATGAATGTGATGCACCTAAGTATGTCTAAGATGCATGCAACATGAATAAATTATGTGTTATTTCTTGGATGGAGTCTCGTGCTTTGCCTGCCAATCTGGTCCATGGAATCGATCGTGCCCCATTTGCTTCTTGAGCTTGGGCTTTACAGACATTTCATATCTGAGATTGTTCTGTTTGAAAACGTTTTTCTCCTTTTTCTTGTTTCAGGAGAGAGAAATGATAAAAATGTTGTAAAGTATTGTTCGCAATTGAATCAAATTGTAAACGTGAGTTCAAAAAAAAATATCAAAGGAATCAAGAGCTCTTTTAATGCTTTCAGAGTTACAAATCTTTGACAAATGTTCAAAGGGACGAGTCGGCTTTAAGTTGGCCTCCTTTCTAAGGTTTTTTGGTAAAAAATGTCATTTTTTAAATATCGCAACATACTTTGGCACTTTAATTGGGTGCGGACAAAATGACGCAGCTAGCATGATCAATTACTAGACCTTTTATCTCAGTCCTCTGAAATCTTTCATTTGTTCAAGCTTTGTAGACTCTTCCAACAAAGGCAGTGCAAAAAATATCGGTCTAAAAATGAAATTCTAGAGTGCTTGTGTGTAGTCAACTATAACAGGTGTTCCTTAACTCCCTTAGTCTATTTTACCGAAACTTCATGCTTAGATAAATTCGATTTAATTTGCCGTTATCTGGCTAGCTGAATCCATAAAGCCGGGGCGTTTAACCAATTGCTTTAGAGGGACAACTTATCATTATAATCACTCTTATCAAGTTAACTGAAGGGTTCATCTCATCACAGAGTCTTCAGCCTGACAAGAGCAGTGGAGCAAACACCGAATTGCCAAGTGTCCGAGCAATGTCATGGTTTGAACGTAAT